TCTATAAAAAATAAAAAAATTAGCCAGGCATGGGGGCATGTGCCTATAGTCCTAGCTACTTGGGAGGCTGAGGCAGGAGGACTGAGTGTGAGTTTGAGGTTGCTATGGAATGTGATGATGCCACTGCACACTAGACTGGGCAATAGAGACCCTGTCTGGGGAAAAAAAAAGATTCAGGGGAATCATATGACAATATTTGGATATTAGAGAGATAATTGTTAACAATGTGAATGGAGAGTTAAGTTTAAAGCAGTACTTTTTTTTTTTTTTTTTTGAGACAGAGCCTCAAGCTATCCCCCTGGGTAGAGTGCCATGGCATCATGCTCACAGCAACCTCCAACTCCTGGGCTCAAGCGAGTCTCCTGCCTCAGCCTCCCAAGTAGCTGGGACCGCTGGGACCACAGGCACCCGCCACAACGCCTGGCCATTTTTTTGGTTGCAGCCATCATTGTTGTTGTTTGGCGGGCCTGGGCTGGGGATTCAAACCCGCCACCTTAGGTGTATGTGGCTGGCGCCCTAGCCGCTTGAGCCATAGGCGCCGAGCCTAAAGCAGTACTTTGGTTGAAGCAATGCAGGAAAAAAAAAATTGAAGGGAACTGAGTAGAATCCTTAGAAATGGTCCAGAAAGTTTGAAAAATATGTAGACTGGAACTGAACTACAACTAGAAGCCAAGCCCACAAGTCACTTCCCAGCTGATCCACAGAACCACAAGTGAGAATAAACTGTTGCTTCAGTTATAACAGCGGTTCTCAACAACAGAAACTATTAAAGGGTCCTGCCATTAGGAAAGTTGAGAACCACTAACTTATAGCATTATGGTAAAAGCTTACTGAAGTGTGCTGCCTCAAAGACAACAGTGCTTAGAACAGGAAATGGGGGCTCGGCACCTGTGGCTCAAGTGGCTAAGGCGCCAGCCACATACACCTAAGGTGGTGGGTTCGAATCCAGCCCGGACCCACCAAACAACAATGACGGCTGCAACCAAAAAATAGCCGGGCGTTGTGGCGGGCGCCTGTGGTCCCAGCTACTTGGGAGGCGGAGGCAGGAGACTCGCTTGAGCCCAGGAGTTGGAAGTTGCTGTGAGCTATGATGCCATGGCACTCTGCCCAGGGGGACAGCTTGAGGCTCTGTCTCCAAAAAAAAAAAAAAAAAAGAACAGGAAATGGGACACAGTAAGCACTCACTAAGTGTCAAGTATTTTTATGAATTACGTGTCCATGTGCATGGGTACAAAACATTTTTGTTTTATGGTCCAGTTGGACATGAAAGTCTGAAGCTAAGCAGGGCCCTGGAGATACAGACGAGGGAATAAGTTATGTCATGGGTTTTTGGGAGAAAGGAGACAATAGCTGGGACACAATCCTGAGGAACAGTTATCCCATGCCCACTTCCAGCCATCGTGACATTTTTCTGTTCCTTTCTGCAACAAAACTCCTGAGAGAGTTGTTTATACCATCTGCCTACAGTTCCTCACCTCCCTTTTTCTCCCCAACATAATCAACTGAAATCATTTTTTGCAGGGTTTATTAACAACCTCCATCTTGTCAATACTAACAATCAACTCAATGTCCTCATTTTTACTAACTCCCAACAGCATTTAAAACTTTCCACCATTGATAAAGTTTTCCACTCCCTTTCTTGAAATGTTTTCTTCAACTTGACTTTCAGAATACCATGCTCCTTGATTTTTTTTTTTTTTTTAACAAAAACTGTCAAGCTTTCCCTTCTAATTCCACTGACAGTTGCTTTGCAGTTTCCTTTAGTGCTCCTTTCCTCTTCTACTTCTCTACATGTTGGAAAATCCTAGGGCTCACTCATCCATGGACCACTCTTCACAATCTACATTCCTTCCCTAGGAAATCTCAGTTGGTCCCATAGTTCAATTACTAGTAACTGAACTTTCAAATTTATACGCCCCTAAATTCCAGATTCATATCTCTTGTCTGCACCCCTACTTTACATGTCTTGGAAGCCCTCCCTTTAAAATATATCCAGAATGTGACCACTTTTCATCCTGTCCATTGGTACCTCCAAGGTATAACCCATCATCCACTCTCACCTGGACTACTGAAAATCCTCTTAATTTATCACCCTGCTGCCTAAATTACTCTCCCACAGTCTAATTTCTAAACTCACTCACAGAGTGAGTTTTTTAAAACTTAAATCTGAGCACAGCAGTACCCTGTTGAAAACTGCCAAAGGCTTTCCATCACATACCAGAAGAAACTCAAAAGTCCCTCCATATCTGTAAAACCCCACACAATCCAGCCTGGCCTATCTTTTCTGACCTCATCTTCTGCCACTTCTCCCTGCTCTGCTCACATTACAATGGTTCCCTACTGTGTTCCTCCTCTAACAGGTCCAAACTTAGGACCTCCCTAAAATATTTGCCTTACTTAGAATACTCCTTCTCTTGTGACTTGATCATTTTTATTCAAAACATTCATTAGTACTTGACATTATATTACATCTTTGCTTCCCCTTACTAGATTACATGCTTCAAGAGGGCAGGGACTTTTTCTTGTTTACTGCTTTATCCCAACTACCTAAAACAGGGATTGGCACACAGAGGCACATAGTAAGTATCTGTTAAATAAACAACTGAAGTCAACATGTAAAAGTCAGGCAGGTCACAGCAAGCAGTTTCCTTAAAGGCTTCAATTATTTTGTTCCTACATGTTTAAGTAACATTAACTATTCCAGTTGTAAACATAATAAAAGTATGCCCAAGCTAGCCTGCTTTTCCACCTGAGCAAGTACAATCAGGCATCTTTTTGTCAAACAGTATTAGGTAAGTACATGTATGTGCCATAGCCAGTCAATACCTAAGTTTAGAAACTAGTCCAGATATCAATTTCAGAAGAGAACAATGACCAGAACCTGAAGGATAAACACACCACAGAAAACTTAAAAATAAGAAGTCAAATTGCACTGCACTACATTTTAAAAACTCTTAAAATTAACTTCTATTGTTAGGAAAGGATCGACTGATTAGCAACTTCTATGAAAATATGAAATACACATTTTTCCTCTACATTCTTATCTTGGCAATCTAAAAAGGCTGCCCAACAATTTTTTTAGATCAGTGGCTCTCAAATTTAGCTGGTATAAATACTACTTAAGGAGAGTATTTTAAATGCTGTCCAGGTCTCACCTCCGAATTAGTATTACGATACTGTAAGGAGAGAGGAAAGATTTACAAATTTAATGAACACCCCAGGAGATTACAATGCCAATAGCCCACAGATCATTTTGAAAAATATTTCTACTCTATAACATCTAAATAAGCTATATCCAATCCTCCTGGTCAATTTGAAACCAAAAACCAAAATGACCTAGATCCTAGCTTTCAACTTGCTATTTCCTCTGTAATAAATGAAACTGAAATAACTTACAGAAAATATGGGAAACAAGAAGAAAAAATACTTTCATCCCACCACCAATGTGCCTGTACTTACTAGCATTTTGGTACTTTCCTCCTTTTTTTCATCTCTAGGTAACGTGATGTTTGTTCTTTTCACAACTGTAATCTCGGTGCAGTTTCAATTTCTATTTCTAATAAACATTTTCCATGTTATTACCTAGTCTTCGTAAGTATCATAGAGATCACATTATATTCCATCAAGTGAACCTAGCATTGTTTATCTAGCCATTCCCTACAGTTGGCTACTTCCTCACTGCTATAAATTAGGCCACCATAAATATTTCTGTACAGAACAATTTTTCAGTACTTGAATGCTTCTCATGTGTGGGAAGAAAATCTACAGCACCAAACTGTTTTTCCCAAAGGGTTTTTACTACCACTTTTTTCAGAAAGTGCTCTGTAGATTTGTATCTTAAAAATTTCTGTTGGGGTTAATGGAAGGGAAAAATACCTGGCCCTTGGGCGGCGCCTGTGGCTCAAAGGAGTAGGGCGCGGGCCCCATATACCGCAGGTATATCGGAGGTGGTGGGTTCAAACCCAGCCCCGGCCAAAAACTGCAAACAAAACAAAAACCTGGTCCTTTTAATTCGCACTTCCTTAGTTACTCATGAGTTTAAACATTCTTCATTAATTAGTTGTATTTTTTCCTCTAAATTATCTATCCTGCCCATTATCCATTTATTAGCAGGATCTTACTGTTTATTTCTAGTTATGTGAACTTTATGTTCAATTTCCTATTCTTTCAAATTGAGCGTTTGTAGACTGGTCTATTCTGTCTCACTGACCTACCGGTTTTCGCGCCTGCACTACCCACGACCCTGCTACTTTAACAACTTCTACTCTGACAGTTTAAAACCATCTTCGTATAATCGAATACACATGGTGTTCAGTGTGAGTTGGTTGTTCCCTGGGGCGAGTTACCTGACTTTTCTGGGCCTCAGTCCCATTTGTAAAAGGGGGGAAATGATACGTACACCTCCCTAACAGGGCTGGTGTGATCCAAACTATGACTCCTTTATATTAAAAAGAATTCATCAAAAAAAATTATCAGATGTCAATTTTCTAGCCTCAAATAACCAAAGCGAAACATCGAGGGAGCAAATGCGACCCTGTCTGCAGAACTACAAGGCAAGTAAATCTACGCTTGTCTTGGTATTCACTTTCCTCGGTCTTCACAAGTAGTAAGTAAATAAAAGATTAAGTTAACAAAAAAGCCAACATCCGTCTTGCAAGACTTTTCAACTACTCCCCTTCCTCGAACACAGCACAAGAATGTACAAATGGGCAAACAGGACGACACGACTGGACCTCTATTCCTGCCGCCTCTCTAGTCTGGCGCCTGGGCTGCAGTCCACTACCAGACGCGAAAGCGCCCTTCACCGGAGCAGCGCGCGCTATCGGGTATTAACATTCACCTTCCCCGGGCAGCCGGCCCACTGGCCGGCCCGCGGGTTCTCATTTCGACCTTCCGGAGCATCACCGGCTCGGGAGGAAACCGAGGCCCCGGGCCACCAAGAGCGCCCGGCCCAAGGTCGTCGCGGGGCCCGGGCAGGCCGGGCTGCGCCCGCCGCTCACCTCAGCAGCGCCAGGAAGGCGGCGGGCTCTACGTCCGGCAGCTCGATCTCGGCCGACGTGGTGGCCATGCCGCCGTTGAACATGGCGTCGAAGACTGCGCTGCCGGCCGCCAGCACGAAGCGGTGGGCAGGGATGCGCTGCGGGCCCCCGGCTGCCGCGGCGCCGCGGCCCTTGCCTAGCACGAAGCGCACATCACTCAGCAGCTCGGAGTTGAAGAGGAAGGCGAAGCGCTCCTTCAGCGACGCCTTGGTCGCCTGCCAGTTGTACAGCGGCTCCCGCTGCAGGGGCAGCAGGGGCCCCAGAGAAGACGGCGACGGCGGCAGCGGCGGCCCCGCGGCGCCCGGCTCCGCCTCGGTCCCCGCCGCCTGCTCCTCTGCCGCGGCTGGCCCGAGCGAGGCCATCTTCCAGCTGCGCGGCTCCCCAGGCTAGGGAGACAGTTCCCGGCGCCCCGCCGCCATCGCAGAAGCCGCCCCCAGAGGCCGGCGCCGCCTCCGAGCCTTCTGGGAAGGCGCTTCCGGAGCCTGCGCGCCCCCGCCGGCCCCGCCCTGCCTGGCGCGCGCCCCCGCCGGGTGGGACGCGGAGGCGCGGCGGCGGGCGCGGCTGCTGGGGGTGCTGCCGGCTGGCGCGTCGGGGGCCTGTCCGGCTGTAGGCGACCAGGCGCCACCTCTGTCTGCGAGAGGTTAGCGCTCGCGTCTCTTCCCTCAGGCTCCTCATCACGGCTCCAGTGCCCCCAACGAGTACCTAGGACAGGTCAGGTCTTTGCCAGGGATCTTCTTTCCTGGAAGTGGAGGGGGCCGGAGGATATAGCCAAGGGAACACGGGAGAAGCGGACGACATGACTCCTTTAAGCCCTGTCCCTCAGGAGTGGCCAGGTCACCACTCAGACCCGCGCCGCTCTCGTGGAAACCCTGGGAGCACAGCTGAAGGGCTTGGCACCCGGCTCACGGCTCGCCCGGTCCCTTCCCACCTAATTGCCCTTCTGTCTCTATGCCTAAGAGACGCGTCCCCCTGCTGCTTTCCCCTTCTCTTCTAGCACTTGTTAGCAGTCCCTACACTGAACAAACCCTTGGAGTGAAGAGTCGACAGAGAAGGCAATTCCAACTGTGTTAGCTCTTCCCAAGCAGAATTTACAACCTAAGGCATCACCACCAAGGGGACAGAGGCTTGCCCTCTGCCCTGCAGTGAGGCGGGTCCTGAGTCAGCCCTTACCTAGTAAAAAGTGGTAACAAAACAAAACAAACAAAAGAGAACCTTGGAAACAGTTCTCAACCAGGCAAGTGTAGTTGGAAACACGTATTCTTTGTAGGAAAAGCTTTACCGATTACAAGTGCCTAGTCATTTTAGTAAGTAAACCATGGGTTTCTGCTGTAAAATCTCTCTGCCTGTCAAATCCTCCAGTGGGGAGTCCAGTTGTTGGACATTTAGAATGGCAACTTCTTTGGGAGACTTGAAGTGGGAGGTACTGAAATAGTGGGTGAGCAACCCCTTTCCCAAATCTTCAGTAGGCATTTCCTAAAGACAAGGATATAGTGCTGCAAATGATACCATTATCACACCTAGTGAAATTAATAATGCCATAATATTATCTAATACAAATATGCCTAATATCATTTAATATATAGTCCATATTTAAATTTCCGAATTGTCTCAAAAAATATCTTTAATAGATGATTTCTTTTCCCAATCCAGGATCAGATCAACATTCACATATCGCTGGTTGTGTTGACTTCTTTCAAGAGTCCTGGAGATTGTGGAGTAGAATGCTCCGCAATCTGAAGTTGCCTGATTGTTTCTACATGGTTCTTGGTTACATTCCAGGTTAAACATTTTAGGCAAGAATAAGATCCAGGTGATGTGATGTTATGTACTTCTTATTGCTTCACATCAGAAGGCACATGATGTCCCACAGTTGTTGATGCTAAGCTTGATGACATGAGTAAGGCTGTGACTGCCAGATGTCTCCATTGTAAAGGTGTGTGATTCCTGTGTAATTAATAAGTAACCCATGCCAGTGATACTCTAGACTCTGACCAATTGGTTCCCCTCAAAACCTTAAGCCTACTGGTTTTAGCATCCATTGATAATTCAAGTTTTTGAATTTAGGTTTCTAAATAGGTTACGACATTGAAGTTGCAAAATGGTGATGTTCTAATTCTATTAATTCCTTCTACAGCTAACAGCTGACATTCTGTAAAGATGCACCTTCCCTCCCTTCTTTTTTCTTTCTATTTTTGACTATCAGTGAACTTGTGGAGTTTTTTGAATGTGTCACATAATCCATTACCAAAAATTCATTGTGTTTTAAATCTCAAGGAAAACCTCAAGTTACCAAAGCAAAAATAGTACAAGTCACATTGTCTAGTATAGGACAATAAAAAAATAATAGCCAAAAATATGAGGATACTACATATAAAAATTTAAGGAATGTAGTCAAAATGAACTTAAAACTGAACTTAAGTCCTCTATAAATGTTGAACAGACTTATCCAGGAGTTAGAAAAAGGAACAACACAAATAAACCTAAGGAAAGCTACAGAAAGGAAGTAAGTATAAAGCAGAATGATTTTGCTTTTATATTTGAAATAAAAACATTTTTTGTTTTCTTATTTTCTAGCTATGTAATGTGTAAATATTTAGATGTGTAACAGATATTTATCATAGGTATTTACAGCTAAATATTTACTTAGTTTCTAAGTTTTCTATAAAAAGAAATTCTGTAGAACTGGAAAAAAAAAATCCAAGCTGATTCTTTGACATCAAAAAAGAACTGTTTTTGGTTTCTTTTAATGCAAAGTAAATACGAAGTGGACTTTCCCCTAAAATGTGAGACTACATAGGACTTATCCAGGGTGTTATTTAAGAATGAAGATTATCTGGCGTTACCTCTGAAGATTCTGATTCAATATAGGCCTGAGAATCTGTAATCTTTAAATGCATCCCAGCTATTCTTTCTTTTTTTTTTTTTTGAGATAGAGTTTCACTTTGTTGCTCTCAGTAGAGAGCCATGGCATCACAGCTTACAGCAACCTCTAGCTCTTGGGCTTAGGTGATTCTCTTGGCTCAGCCTCCGGAGTAGCTGGGACTACAGGCACCCACCACAACGCCCAGCTATTTTTTGCTGCAGTTTGGCTGGGGCCGGGTTTGAACTTGCCGCCCTCAGTATATGGGGCTGGCACCCTATCCCAGGTATTCTAATGCAGGCCATAGACCATGCCCTGTAGAATACTGTACTAGCTAGTTTAATGAAGGAAAAAGATGAAAAAGCACAGAATTGGACATGAGAAAGGATATATAATTATGGAGATTAAAATTAAAAATGTGAAGGCCAGGTGCAGTGGCTCACACCTGTAATCCTACCACTCTGGGAGGCTGAGGTGTGTGGATTGCTTGAGCTCAGATGTTCAAAACCAGCCTAAGCAAGAGTGAGACCCATCTCTAAAAAAATAGCTGGGCATTGTGGTGGGCGCCTGTAATCCTAGCTACTCCAGAGACTGAGGCAAGAGAATCACTTGAGCCCAAGAGTTTGAGGTTGCTGTGAGCTATAATGCCACAGCACTCTATTGAGGGTGACAAAGTGAGACTCTGTCTCAAAAAAAAAAAAAAATAAAAAATAAAAAATTAATGAAATCTATTAGTACCTTTGTAATTTTAAAAGAATTTACTAGTCTAGGAAACCTGGCTGAATATAGTGGCTCACACGTAGAATCTCAGCACTTCAGGAGGCCAGTGTAGAAGGATTGCTTGAGCCCAGGAACCCAAGACCAGCCTAAGCAACATAGGCTAATTAAAAAAATTAGCCAGGCATGGTGATAGGTGCCTGTAGTCCCTGCTACTGGGGGACTACTGAGAAGGATCATTTGAACCCAGGAGTACGAGGTTGCAGTGAACTGTGTTTAAGTCACTTTACTTAAACCTAGGCAGCAGAGTGAAATCCTATCTCAAAAAAAAAAAAAAAAAAAAAATGGGAGTGGTTTCGGCACCTGTAGCTCAGCGGCTAGGGCGCAGTCACATACACCAGAGCTGGCGGGTTGGAATCCAGCCCTGGCCTGCCAAACAATGACAACTACAACCAAAAAATAGCCAGGCATTGTGGCGGACACCTGTTGTCCCAGCTACTTGGGAGGCTGAGGCAAGAGAATCGCTTAAGCCCAAGAGTTTGAGATTGCTGTGAGCTGTGATGCCAAAGCACTCTACCCAGGGTGACAACTTGAGACTCTGTCTCAAAAAAAAATAAAATAAAATAAAATAAGAGAGTAAGGGAAGAAAGGAAGGCACACCTGAAAAGTTTAGCTATCTATATAGGACATTAAAACTTTTAAAAATAATCACCATCAGAGAATACTATGTTTCTAGATGAGCTAGTTAAGAAATTTTTAAAATAATACATAATTGTTATAGAAGAAGTAGATTCATGCCAAATCTTATAGACAATAGAAAAAGAAGAAATACTACAAAATCATTCTACTTCATCTGGATACACCTGATATTAAAATTGGAAAAAAAAAGGAAATTGAAATTATCAAAGGAATTTATAAAAGGAAATTGAAATTATCTTTATTTTTATTTATAAATATTACTTGTCTATTTTTTGAGACTTTCGAGAAACAATAATAATAAGAAGTTAACTGATGACTCCATACTGAACCTCAGAGTCAAAGCATTCTATGATAGACATACTCTTATCTGACAATATGAATGTTACTTTTTTCCATTATTATTTTTATTGCTCAATATTTTGTTGCAGCAATCGTCTGACTTCTTTTCTGAATTTTTAACTTCATTCTTTACGAGATTTTTGTTTCTAGTCCTTATCTTAAACCTCATTATTATTATTAAATTTTAAGCCTTTTTAATTTTGTGAAGGCAAAAAGTGGAAACCAAGTAAACATACGTATATGTATAGGGAAAATTTAAAAAAAAAAGAAATGAATCTGTAAATATGAGATTGAGCACATACACACAGGTAGACATACTCATTTGTAGTCAAATTACAAGTGATTTTGTTTTCCTCTTTGTACTTCATTTTATTATTCAAATTATCTTTATTGCATATGCTTCAACTTCAATTAAAAGAAACTATAATTTTTTTCTTAACTTTGGGGAAGGAGGCTGAATTTTTTGTAACAAACTACTCAACTTCCCAATTACTGAAAGCTTCCTCCCCTCCAGGAGCTTGAAAGTGGTTTTCAAATTATTCTAACTACTATGGCCTTGTCTATATCTCTATTTTTGTGCCAGTACCATGCAGTTGTGACCACTATGACCTTGTGGCACAGCCTAAAGTCTGGTATGCTGATGCCCCAGCTTTGTTGTTATTACTAAGAACTGCCTTAGCTATATGGGTTTTTTTTCTGGTTCCATACAAAATGCAGAATCATTCTTTTTTTTTTTTTTTCCAGTTTTTGGCTGGGGCCATGTTTGAACCCACCACCCCCGGTATATGGGGCTGGCACCCTACTCCTTTGAGCCACAGGCACCACCCAAGAATCATGCTTTCCAAGTCTTGAAAATAGGATGTTGATATTTTAATAGGGATGGCTTTGAATCGGTTGATTGCTCTGGGAAGTACTGACATTTTAACAATGTTGATTCTTCCCA